GCCTGTTCAATTAGTCATTTTCCTAAAAGAAGAAGGAGTCAAGGAGTGAGGCAGAAGAGAGAATATAAGTTTTCAGTAGTGGGAGATTCCTCCAGTGAGGTTACAGTGATCTCTCTGCTGGGAGTCAGACCCCCAGGATCCAGGACCATGGAGCCCTCCATTTCAACCGAGGTCGAGGGGGAGCACAGAGAGAGAAAGAAGATACACTTTGCTGTGCCGACATCTGCACCCACCAATCTGGACCCTCGGCAAGTGGAGATGGTGAGCAGGTGGTGGGCACCTACTGTTTGGCCCATGGAGAGAAATACGTTTTAGCTTTTAGCTCTAACTTGTTAGATTTTACAATTAAATTTCTTATTGATCAGTTTTCCTTCTAACTCCTTAGTCTAACTACAGTCTTTCAGTGAAAGGGAGAGCACTGTTTCTAAAGTTCTGTACCATCGCTGGCCAAATTTCTCCACTTCAGAACTTCTTCCGTCTGCATCACATTTCTCTCTGCTTTGTTTAATTTTGTTGACAGTTTCTTAGGCAGAACTGGATTTGCCGGCTCGTTCTGGCACACAGCAGAGAAATTACAATGACCCTATTTTTCTTCCTTATGAGATTAGTGCTTTGCCGTCTCATCTCATCTCGACCTCTTTAACAATATGACATCGACATGAAAATCATTATCTGGCATTTGAAGTCAGTTTGCTCTTTTGAAACTGCAGCATCATCAGCAACAAGCCCTTGACATTTTGTAACTGCCACTGTTAATAATTACTTTTGTGTCTTTGGCTGTTTGATTGTGAGTGACCTCTGTCATCTGTTTGTTTTGCCACAGAATAACTGACTCAGCATGATCTGTATCTATGAAATGCTCTTTTTCTTTGGACAGGACATCTCTGATCATTCTTTATCTCTAATTCTGGTGGTTCTTATTTTAGAGAAGGGGAAAGTGGGCCATAGCAGGAACTGTTTGGTGCCGAGGTAGATTGAGGCCAATGGCTCATCCCTCATGAGAGCTCTGGAGAGATGGAAAACAAGAGAGAGATGTACTATATGAGGGAACGCAGAGAGAAAAAAGGCACACGGCCTGATCTCTGGTTCACCTGTCTGGGGTCAACTCCCTCAGTGATTGTCCTTGTTCTACAGCTTACATAAGAGGCATTGATTGGCAGGTTTGCTACTGAATTATAGATTAAATGACTTATTAAATTGTTTTGCAGCGCTTCATGAAACTTCCATTTAGACATAAACACTTGCTCTCCTCCTCCCCTTAGGTTAGTCATCACACTCTGATCCCTATCATCTCTTCTGAGAAACCAGACCGGATGTAAGCTGCTCCTTCATTTAAAACATTTCCTCACTTCCTTCTGGTTTGGGGAGGACCTTATTGCTTAAATAGCTATGGTTACACAGAGATCAGCTAAAGTTAAGCTTGCTGGCTGGCTCTGCTCCGAGTCGGCCCCAACTTTTAACCTGAGATACCTTTTGTGTGCTGAAGCTTCTGTATTAGCTTGGTGCTACTACTTAAACATCTGTGTCAAGTAAATGTTTGAATGGCATAAATATTTTAAATAATCAGGTTGGTTGTTAATGGTACTGAGTTCTGAGAAATTGCTTGTGTGTGTTTGAATGCGTATGCTGGTGGATGAATACTGATTGTTACAACAGAGCGAGAACTATGCAGAAGGGGAAAATAGGATGCTGGAGAGAAGGTGTTTACATGTATTTAAATGCAGATAGCATCTACTCGGGGCTGATGGGAGTCTCCGGGGACATGTGGGTGGGCAGGGGTAACTGTTAACGACACTCATTTTATTCCCTTCACCCACTGCAATTACTGTCACCCACAAGTCCTTCTTTACTAATGACTATGCCATTCTTTGGATCTTGCAGCAACTCCTTACTGTTGTTTCTACTGGCATTTAAACCCTAAAACCACTATTGACTGAACTCCCAGGGCCTTGTTACTATGGAGACAAGCTGTACAAGTATGTCGCCCAAAGCTCCCCCACTGTTGGCATCTAAAAGGTCAACTTTAATGGACAGCTCTGCATGTCTGACTGGATGGGTTGCTTACATTGGTATTGTTGCTTGTTTGTGAATATGCATGTGTGATATGTACGTGTGATATGTGCGTGTGTGTGTGTGTGTGTGTGTGTGTGTGTGTGTGTGTGTGATGGGTTTGGTGTTAACGTGAGAGATGCGTCCATACCTCCCACTCAGTGAAATATTGCATATTGCAGAAGAAAACAACATCTATTTGTACAAGCTGCAAAGGGGTAAGATATTCTTACCAGTCACTTTTCACATCTGTGAATATTTATCGTGAAGGAATGTATTCTGCTTTAATATCTGCGAGGTCCGCCATAAGGTGAGATTACACAAATAACAACAAAAACCTTGTCTTGTTCAGATTGTTTTGGGGGATATTTTGTTGCTTGCATCTTCAATTAAAAAAATTCAAATGTACCTTCGTTTTCAATAAACAATGTTCTGGTTATTCACAAATATTCACTGAACTCCCTATGAGCAGTTTTCAAACAACCACTGAAAAACGTCCTCAATATGTAATGTGAATTATTCAGGCCGACCTGGCTTTCATCCGAATCAAATTTTGGACACAAATGATGTTTTTGCAAACATATAAACTAAATTTCATCATTGTATAATCCCTTTTTTTCCAACTGAGAGCTTCTCTTATTACCTAAAGATTCCAGACTGGGATTTTTTTTAGACAGAAACATTTGTCATCATGACATTTCCTTTCTTGCTTTCTAATACCATCCTTACCTGTTCTGTATCTATGTTCTGTCATCTGAGCTTTTTCTTGAAATCCTCCTACAATACTCAACTTTTTAAGATTGCTATTCTTTATTAATCTTCACACTGGAAAGTCAGGAGCAAACTTGTTATTGTCCACAGCAACACTGAGAACACACATGGTTGTGTTTATCGTTACAACCTCCCGCCCACACATGCCACACACACTCAGCCTGTGTGCTTTGCAAGTGATGTAGGGTAATGTGTATAATGGGCAGAGATTAGGGTCATGCTGCAGACGCTACATCCCAGATTCCCATCACGTTTGTCTGCTTGCTCTGGATGCAACATGGTTTAGGTTCCCCTGGCCCAACCCGCTCTTCTCGCCTTTTCCCTTATCCTCCTGAACCCCCTACAGCCCTTCCCGTCATCCTCTCCAGTCCTGTGTTTGGGTTAAACGTCAAACAGTGACCGTTGATGCAGCAAGTGTTTGTGGGTAAACATTAGCAGTCTGGGGAACTTCTAGCACTTACAGAAAGAACCTCTTGTCGAATGGTACATAGCATGCTGTAACATTACAGAGAGTACAGTAATTTTTCTAATGACATAATCTGTCGCTTTTATGAAAACATATTTTTACGTTCCTTTCAATGTTATTTTCCCAAAGAAGAATTAAAAAAAAAAAAGATGGATTGCCTTGCTGGAAACCACAAACTGTAACTGCAGGTTGGATACAACCAATGGGTCTCTGTCTTCTGTAGGTTGCGTATGTGTTTGTCCAGGCAGTTGGACTAGTCGACTCTGGAACAACATGTTCACAGCTCGTATCTGTCTTTAGCAGTTCAGCATACAGCAGAAAGTTCTGGCACAACTTCACCCACTGTTAAGGTGCATAGACAAGGAAAAAACAAACTGGAAAGCAAAAAGTCCAGCAACACTTGCAGTGTTATTAAAGTTGGTAGGTGTTGCAGGATTTTTTTTTTGCTTTCCCCTTTAGCAGTTCAACACAAAGTTTCTTTTCATGTCCCCTTTTCTGCTTTGTAGTGTAGCTCTTGTGGAAGAAAGCCTTATTATTTTATTTAATCATTCTGAAAATCATGATTCCTAATATTAACAGTTTATCTCTTCATGTGTCCATGTATTTGTGTAAAGTTAAAACACATAAATGTTTAGCATGGTTAGAATGATTTGTTATCTGATGATGACACTTGTTTCCATAATGTTTGCTGACCCTCAGCCATGTATGGGCACTTAATAAACCCCAATGGAAGCCTGCAATGCTGTAGCTACCACCCCTTTCTTTCAGTGTTATGGTCAACAAATCCAATGCTGTCATTTGACGTCATTATCTCAGTCACTCAGCGACAAGCGACAGCCACAACCATATCTGTTATGACATGAGGGGAGGAGAATTAGAAGGGAAACAGTGACACAGACACTGGGGATACAAATGGAAGTTGGGAATAAGGGCTGGAGAGGATCGTGAACTGGTATGTCAGACACTGGTATGATCACTACAACTGGATCCTTGAACTGCACCTTTGAGATTGCTTCCTTCCTTGTGATTTCATGAGTCAGGAACTGAGGTTGGATCAACCACAGGGTGTTCACACTGATCCAGGAATACTAAGAAGAGCACTGAGGCATGACTTCCAAAACAAATGGGATTGGTCTTGTTCCCTGTTTCATCAACACAGAGAAGACATGGTATTATGTTATTGTTGCTGTGCCTGTTATAATCTCTGATTTTCATCACCATAGTTGAGACTTTTTCATGTTTACCTTTATGCAACCTAATGAGCTTGCTCAAGGGCACACCAGATCATCCTTGATATGTTTAGGAGGGAACAGTCCAATGCGAAAACAAGATTTGCACGAATATCTCAGTGGTCTGCCTGGTTATAATCTGAAGTTATGTTGAAACTGTACAGGTCAGTTTATACGTGCCTCTTGCATCCAAGCAACGAGCTGAAAGATGCATAGCAACAGCAGTAACGTTTTCCCATTTATCACTTGTGGGAACATGCAACATTGCAGATAAGTAACTACAGTCACTATGTCCTTTGTTTGTAGCTGCTTGTTGACCTCTGGAACTTGCCTTTGTCATCTGAGTGCATGAACAAGAAAAGCTTAAGTATCTCCCAGTGTTTGTTAGCTGTGCCACTGACTGCGTGAAAGCTGCGATTGACACCTCCTGTCTTGTCGCCTCGCCCTGTATGTTGCTCCAGTGTGTACTGTGGTTTGGCAGGTGGCTTCCTGTCATTCATCAGCCATCAGCCCATTATCTCTGTTGTGTTGCGATGGTAAACATTTCTTCCAACAACCTCTGCCACAACAACCCAAACAGCTAATAGTAGCTAATTACTGTACTGTAAATAAATTCTGACGTGCACCTCAAGGCAGAGGACGAGGAGAGAAAGAGGGAGGTGTTTGTCAGAGTATGAGCTCATTCTGCCAGTGGGTGCGGCGTAATGATGTTTCCTATTTGGGGGTCACTTGAGAGCCCCTCCAGA